CATCGCAACACGGTCCACATGCAATGCAGTTAACATTTTTTAACACATAAATAACTTCAACGGGCATACACATGTATAAATCGAGCGTTTCTTTTTTAATACAGACACCGCTCCTTAGAGTATGTTCTGTGGACACAACGCCCAGTCGCCCACAGATTACAACGTTGCAACGTTACATTGTACCCGAACTAAGTAGTACGATACTAAAATGATAAAATGTGTTAAAAAGACAGAATATTGTTTTGCCTTATAAAAGGCGAATATTTTATTGTAATTATATATTGATAGTTAATAATGAACATGTAATATTTTTTCCGTCTCAAAATTATTAAATCTGCTTTATGATAATGCAATTATAATGAAAGATACCAAATAATAATAAAATGCATGCATTGTTAAAGGTTATTTTAATTTCATTTCTCTATGATATTTTCTGGATCATGCTTTGTTATTTGAAAGCGTGTAACACTTTTATTAATGGTGATTTTGAGTTTTATTGTTTTTCAAAAATTTACATTGCGACCACTTGTGCTCTGGTTCCCAAACATCGACAAAGATTGTATGAAGAAAGGTAATATTAGACCATTGATGCCAAAAGACTTAAAATGGACTCTTCATATGCGAACGATTTAATTAGAAACACGAAGAATCCACAAAAGCGTCCCGTAGTCCTTGGCGATGCACAATAACAAGGGTATTTTTGTTTGTATAGCGTTTAACAAGCTCCCATTAGGAGTAATGAACGTCTGCCTTATCGCAACTAAAAATACATTGAGTGCGTTAAAATTGTGCACAGCTTATCTACCAACAGCCACCCGCGCACGGCTCCGTCCACGATTTATGCATTCATTTATTTATTATGTGCATTCACAATTAAAACGATTAAACTTGCAGACTCCCTACCGTATTCCTTATACATAAAATGTCACGTTAAGGATGCCGAAAATATTTTAGATAGTATTTTTATAGATATGTATCTATGATATATCGCTATATTTTATAAAATATATCGACATTTTTAGCCGATATATTTCCATCCGAGATATCGGTGTAAAATATTCGATATCGAAATCGTATCAAAAACGATATTTTTGATACGAGAGTGTATCCTGCTGCCAATCTTCTTGCCAGTACAACCTCTTTATGACTGACAGTCTCGGTCATAAAGAGTTCATTTGACACACGACTAGCAATGTACGGTATTAGTTTCTTTAAATTTCCGGATGTTTTTCGACGTAAAAAAAATGTAATTAAGTACAGAAAAATCATTAATAAAATACTCACCAAGCAGAATTTGGCGGTCGCTTATAGTTTTCGAGAAAATAAATTATTTAAAACGTAATTTTCACTAAGAAAGTTCACCATTTTTACGAATTTGACTTCAAAAACTGAATACACAGTACCGCCAACATGAAAAATATAGGAAGCGGGCGAAGATTAATTTTCTTTTAATTTTAAGAGTGACAGATCCGACACAGAGCGATCCCACTCGGATAGGTTAGGTTAGAATGTTAAAGTTCGATGTTAGATTTTTTTTTATGACCACCCAGAAAACTTTAGTGTAACAGTACTTTTAGTATTTTTAAAGACTCTTTTTTAATAATGCGAAGGTTATAATTTGGAAAAGTGTGTGAATTCGTAAATTTATACATGTTGTCAAACACAAAATCGCGGATTAATTTAGTGAAAATATTAAGTTTTAAATATATTTTTTTTCTCGAAAACTATAAGCGACCGCCAAATTCTGATTGTTGATTATTTCATTAGTGATTTTTCTTAACCGAATAAACTTTTTGTTTGGTCGAAAACACCCGGAAACTTAAGGAAATTTTTACCCAATGTACTCGTACCTATACCTGTATATGAATAAGTAAAAGAAAGAAGTGAGGGACAACGATGAGAAATGATTAAAATACACAGACGTTTTTATATTTTATTTGGAACAAAAAAGTGGTTTGTACATTAGGTAAGTACTACAAACGAGTATGGACGAAATAAACTTTTTGACCTTGTTATATTTAGGTAAGGATTGGAATCGGTATCAAAAAATAGTTAAACAATAACCCAACAACAGCTTTAATGAAACAACTTTTTCGAGCATAGATTATAACATAACATGATGTCGATAAGCATTCATTTTCGAAGGAACGTTTCAAAGTAATGAAATGGGTAAAGTCAAGGGCTCTGTATTATGTTCTTTTATCTCAAGTTATTGACGTAAACTAACTATTATACATACTTTACAAAGTAAGATCACATGAATGATAAAGAAGTTACAAGTTGCATTAAGTTGTAATGATTTTTTTTTTGTATTTACAATCTTTATTGATCTAATATTTACAAGATTAAATCTATCTAAAATTACATATTATCTAATAAACCTAATCCACGCGGCATGGTGCCAAGAACGCTAGCTGCATTTCCTCGCTGAAAAGTTATGCTTAACCTTTGAGCCAGAAAAGAACCAGCTCTCTTGTCACCAGCCGCGGCGTTAAGCCTAGGACATAAACTTTTAAAAATTTGATGTGCGGAGACCCCACGGCCCTAATGTTTCAACAGCAAATGGCACAAATACATAATCTGAACATAAAGACTCATATTTGCGCCATTTACTTACTTCAGCTGCCTCCGATGCCGCCCCGGCCCTGACCGAAGTACCCCTTAGTTGAGAGGCAGCCAAAGTGTCTACACAAGTGGCGTCCCAAACAAGGGCTTAATGATTTTGTACATACTTTTTCAGCGAGTATTAATTATTAAATGTTAAACTATGCTGTGATTATTTGTATGGTTTTCATCTTATTGTAGTTCTTGTTTCGATGTTGAATTTTAGGAAAAGTTCGAATTTTTTTTGTTATTATTTCGAAAATGTGCAGGTTTCCTCACGATCTTTTCCTTCACCGAAGAGCACGTGATAAGTCAGCACTTAAAAATAACAATTTCATTCGTGCCGGCACCGAGATTCACCTGGTTACTCGAGTGCAATAATTTTCCCCATGAGGTTATCCTATACCGCGATCCTTTTATAAATAACTAGTTTTCGCCCGCGGCTTCAATCGCGTTGAAGCCCTTAAATAAATATATTTCTTTAACCTTTCAACTCTTTGACCTTTCCTTCGTATCCTTTCTCGGGCTCTAGACTATCTGTGTACCAAATTTCATTTAAATCGGTTCAGTTATTCTGGCGTGAAAGCGAGACAGACAGAGTTACTTTCGCATTTATAATATTAGAATTTATGAAGATCTAAAATATATATATCTACCATATATATTTTCGATCGTCATGCTGCATACCGGTAGATATATAGAGTCTATATATACTGCAGCAGTATTGTTTACACGTCACATAACCGGAACCAACATTGGCACTTAACTTATCGCAGTAAAGTTATGTTAAATGCTATTGAGATTCATAATCCTACACAACAGTCGCATATCTCAGGCGACAGATATTCCTTTGTGTCGCAATCGCTACGAATGTTATTCAGTGAAACTGTTTTTATTATATTTTCTTGTGATTTTTAAATTAGTAGTTTATTTAATTAAAAAAGATAAGTTTTATGTAAGTTTATTAAATTACTTTATAATCACTACTGTTTACAGAATTCATCATGGTTCATATTAAAACTCCAAAGGTTTTGAATACTTCACAGTGAAATTTTTAAGATGTAAGATGTTTTTAACATTCATGTAAATGATTATTTTTACTAATTTAAACGTTTTTAATTTATTAGTGGACGTTACGAATACTTCGCAGTGCCCTGCAGCGTTCATTTTCACAAAGTGAACGGTTTAAATTTATGAATATAAATAGTTCTAAAATCTAATGAAGCTTTCACGGCAATACAAGAAAACGTTACGGTAACAATGACTCAAAGTCAACTGGCAGTCAAGTGCTGGCCAGTTCAAAATAAAAAAAAAGTATCAATCATAACTCTTTGCCATTGTTAAAACATAAAAAGATTTTGAGGCGTTATTATGGCCGTTTGCGCTTGCCCAAGTATAGCAGATGTTCATGGACGGCCGTATTCACTTAACATCAGGTGAACCGTCCGCTCGCTTGGCAACTTTTCACAAAAAAAAAAAAAATAAACTACTAATTATACCTAATTGAATTCCGTTCGCAGTACTATTTGATAATTCTCACCTTGATAGGCAATTTGAAATGGTAGTGTTAGCCTTGCTTTGAGAAATTAGTTTGTGTGCCTTAATGAGATCGCCAGATGTTAGATCAACAATATTTTGGCAGATTATAATCTGCCAAATCTGCTATATCGGTCCGCCCATATTACACCGCCTTTAGTCCAGTTTAGCGCAATAACTATTTTACAAAATAGTTATTATGCTAAGCTGGACTAAAATAATAATTACATATCTGACGATAGCTTGACAATAACGACATTACAAAATAACTACCATGTACAAAGTATCAGAAACGTTGGAGGTTAAAATAGAAAATAAAGCGTTAAATCCGTTGTTTCTTCAGTAATCAGTAGGTTAAAACTATTATTAAAATTCTAAATTATCTATTTATGTGTTTTATATCCAATTCTACTAAAAATTCTAAAATAAAACGTTATTTTATTACTTGTTTATTTACTGTTTTTTTAGTACATCTCTTTACATGATTAGATAATTAAAGAATGGCGCACTGAAGTATGATTAGCTTTAACGTCAAGGGTACAAATACGTTGCGCCTTAAATAGTTTCTCATTCTATGACCAAATCAAAGTTGGAAAAGTTCGAGTTAATTGCAACTCAAAAACCATAGGCACTGTTTCTGACAACAGTTGAACTGAAAACTCAACGGTTACAGGAAAAACTCGTACGGGAAGAGAGCGCTGAAGACAATACGCCATGCAAATATTTCCGGTTCCGCAAAAGTTACGCACCCCGTCGAACTCAACGAACCCTTTTTTTTTACAATCGTTTCCACAATACATTTCCTTACGTCTGTCAATTTGTCACTGTACTAATTCTTTGTTATCTTTCGTTTGTTGCAGATCGCTCTGGGGTTTTCTCATCGGAAAATGGTATGTGTTACCATTAAAACCATTGGTATTTCATAAATAAATAAAATATTTAGAAGAAAATTTTTCCGGAAATGATTTTTGCACAATATTGTTTAGTCCCAAACTAAGCAAAACTTGTACTATGCATATAAAGACACTTAAAAATACTAATAAAAAATATAAACTTTTGAAATAAATACATCTTATACATAAAAACACAATACGAACACAATGTACATCACGCTATATTTTTTCAATAGTTGCATCGGCGTCAAATGGAGTAATTATACTTCTGCATCTGGTAAGTGAAGTATCCGAGGCCCTCCAGCTCTATTAATAGTCGGCAAAGAACCAGCAATCTCTCAGGCGTTGTAGATGGCCATGGGAGGAAGTAATCTCTTAACATCGGGTCAACAGTTACGCGCGTGCCTAAAACCATGATGACTATTACTGTACACAATCGGTGTCGATTTTCCACAATCATGCAGTCAAGAAAAATTATCGCACTAATATTACAAATGCAAATGTTTGTTCTGTGTATGATTGGTTCTGGATTTAATTTTTGATGAAGACATAACATCATCATTTGAGTCTGTCGCCATTCTAGTGCACTGACAAACATAGCCTCCCAGACTGACACGAAGCACGATCCTGAGGCATCTACGTCAATCGACTTACAGCACGTTTGCACAGACCGTCAGTCCATCTACTGGTTCCATTATCTAGTTGTCCAACGCTGCGATGGCCAATACAAGACTGCCACTTGAGAAAATTGATTCCCCATCGGTTATCGGTTCTACGAGCTATATGGCTGGCCCATTAGCAATTTAAAACTTCATGGGCTTTGAATGGATGTCTAAGCTTGGTAACACCTAGAATTCTTTTTACTTGTAAAAAATTAATCATATTACTTTGAGAAGAATCACGCCGTTGGAAAAACGCATTGGAATATTTGTATTTTTCCTTATAATTTAGATATACAGTACTATTATAAATGAAACTAATTTTACGGATTTATCGCGTTTATTTTTAATTTTAATTCCCGACGTTTCGAAACCAGCGTTCATGGTCACGGGACAGACTGAGGCGTTAGACGTCTGATTGTCATAGTTATCCCGGGCTACCGTCAGTTTTTGAATAATTAATTTTGTGTCCGATCTATGCATAGGGAGCTTATTGTATCTTGTCTTGCAGTAGTGGTTCGTTTGGGCCTAGATTTAATTTTTGATTGATGACAGGATACCAAGCTGATGGTAGCACCCAACCCTTTTCTCTATTGATATTAGGGTGTTTTTTAATTTCAATAGCCTCGCGAATCATTCTTGGGAGGAATCGGGTGTTCTTTTGCAAGGATCTGTGGTCTATCAAACCTGATGTAGTGGTTGGGCCGATTTAAGGTGTGCTCATATATACAAGAAATTATCATATACAGTACTATTTTAAAATGAGAAAAAATCGCATCTCAATCTTCACTTTGCCAATGGAACCATTAAATACTGCAACTTAATTGTAAACGCTATAAATCATTAAAAAGAACTTTATCAGATGAACAGTCCGTTAGCGAAATTCTATCAGCTTTCTCCCGCCTATCGCCGATATTGCGTTATTAAATTTCACTAGTGTTTATTAAACATTGGGCAACAGCTATTCCTGTCTAAGGTCTGCCGTCTGGTAGTGGTCTCAGTCTAACGCCGAGACCGGTTGAACCGCTTTTTGCCCGAACGCAATCCGCCAGAGCCTTTGACGATCGCGACGTGCTTTTTGCAAACACGAACCGCGTACTCGTCGCAATATTGGTTGTAAAGAACATTATTTTAATTAATTTCTTCAACCGATGACTTTGTAGCAATTGATTTTAGATAATGTCAACGATGCAGCTGTCTGTTTCGTGTTCAAATTGTCCTATTTAAGACTAAATGGATTTAGAATGTGGTTCATATGTCATTCATCCAGTTCCTCCTTTGCTGTTCAGACGTGTTGCACCAAGTGCCCGTGATTTGGTGCCATAGTACACTCAATCATCAGATTTCTTTAACTATATAGATCAGTTGCGAATATCCTATAAAAAATTGCATTTTACTCGAGCCAAGGTGGGTTTCCCAATCTCTCGACAGTCCACGGTCGATGTATTGTCTTTGTTTTTTAGTTAAAACGTTTCAAATTTTCTTCTGCTTTATAAACCTAGAGACATTTCGCAAGGCTTATTTATCTCAACATTTGTACTAAGTTTAGATACTGGTTGGATTGACCTAATATCATGAGACATATCTTGACTTCATTATTTTTTGAATGATACAGGAATTAAGGCCCATTTACACGATGCCATTTTCTTGTACATACAAGAGCAATAATTGAATGCAATAAATTGCGCGCAATAATTTGTTAGACCATTTGTTGTTTAGAATTTTAATTGTATACAACAGGCAAGAAACTTGCACCGTGTAAATGGGTCTTTATAATTATTTTCAACAAAAGGAGTATAATATATACTATCCGGAAAAGATCCGGCAATTCATTTCGCAGTAATTTCTTGAACTCAAAATCAAAATCAAAATCAAAAATATATTTATTCAAATAGACGCTTGCGCGCTCTTATGAATCGTCAAATGAAACTGATTTATGTATTTCATCTCGTTAGAGATGAAATACATGAATCAGTTTCTATCCTGATGGATTTTCTGCAAATAAAGTGCCTTCCGGTTCTCCATAAATCATAAATTCTTTGAAATAAGCTACCGGAAAATTGAGTATTGGAGAACGGTGGTAATTCCACCAGCAGCCTAACAGGCTAAACGAATTAGTTCCGGGTAGACCAAGGATAAAAATCCAAACAAAGTATTTTTCGCAACTTTTGATAAGCTCGGAGCCCAAATTTTCAAAAGTATAACGTTATCTTACCTCGACTTAGATTAATTTATTCACTAGATTATAACCGTCTTTTTTTTTTCGCATAAAAAAAAAGTGGACCCCACAGACGTCCTGTATTAAATCTCGTTACTCGTGTTAAATCCGAAAACTTATAAACATATCGGATATTATGTCCCACATAACTTTTAAACTCGTATAAAAAGTGTGAATTAATTTTTTTTACGTTTCTCGAAACAACCTGCATCGCGTAAATGTCATATTATGATGAGATTACGTGATCAAAATGAAAACTCGACCTGACCACCGTTTACGCGCCTTTTTTGGGGAAACTTAATGATGGCACTGACATCTCGGATTTCCATTTCGAAAAAACGGGCAGGGATCGATATTTATGTAAGATCGGGGGTCGATGAGAGTGGAAGTAAGCGCTTCTGAGTTTTTAATGATGAAGTAACGTCCCGCATGGTATAATTATATCATTACTTGTAGTATTTGTCGGTGAATACACAAATTGTCTTTATCTGTGTTGGCAACCAGTGGTTTATCATTTTTTTGTCTTTATTTGCGTCAGCAATCAGTGATTTATTATCTGCATTTTTTATCTGTATTTATTATTGTGGTGGAGATCAACAGCACCTGCGTCAAGAATGGGCCAGCTCAGATGGGGATATAATTATTACTTCCTCACAGACTGTAAGGCGTGAAGTGATATACAGCGTGTCTTTACAATCGCGACAATAAATGAACACACATATAGATCCTCTACATGTGTGTTCATTTATTTTTAACTTTAACTTTTTAAAATTGTATTAAACATTTACTTTCTTTACACATCAATATTTACAGTTATTAAATTTTCCAAAACAAAGAATTTTAGACATCCTTAAGTATAAAACTAACGTAAAGTTCATTTTAAAGTTCACAAATCATATGAATGGGTTGAATGAATTTAAAAGAGACAAAACATACTGTTAGAAGGAGAGGCTTGTAATGTGACGCTGTGGCAACGAATGAAACAGTCTCTGAATGTATGAATCAGTCAGTTGTAGTTGTATAGAATGTTACAAATTTTGTTTCTTTTTTATGTTAGCTTTAATTTTGTTTTATCGAGCTAAGAAGGTAGAAATATAAATACTTTTACCAAATTACCGTAGTTTCACTTTCCACAACAATAACACTGGCATAATTACTTATTTTATCACTTTAATATCCATAATGAAACACGACTGTAACGATTTAATTTGTGATACCGATTGGGCAGCACTATCGCGTATACTTCTTGTTGACAGCTAGAGAAAGACGACGAAGACGAAGTTGACCACGAATACCACATAGAATGACAGTTCCATAGTTTTGCCAACAACCTTAAGGAATGGCTTCCTTTAGTGTTACCAACATTTACTTAATTAGATTGTTTGAAAATTATTTTTTTTTTAATTATGGAATTTTTTTAACGGTAATATTTTTTATGATTATTGGCAAGTAGCGTTAGACGTGTGTTCATTTATTGTCGCGATGGTAACGACACGCTGTATGTAAACTACTACACTTAATATTCGCTTCGTCCGGTGAGTGAGAATACTTGCAGCATCTTCTTTGGTGTGGTCAGCTTCCATGGACGGCGGACCTTGATCACCAGTTGAACAACTGCCATCTCATTAATTTCAAAAAAATCTCCCTGACAGTATAAAAATCCGTGTAGAGCATGCTTTTTTCCTATAATTTTCTATTAAATGTTTTATCTTGAATATTATTTCGAGTTGTAGGAAAATAATTTTTCTTTTACGGTTCTTTGAGGCAGGATGAACTTTAAAGCACTAAAGTGAAAGTAAACTTTTAGGAATTAAACATAATTGTATGTTCAACTGCGGCTGTGTGCGTCATTAGCGGTTGAACGAAGCCCTTGCTTTATTATAATTATGTAAGTAGTAATTATTTCGCGCTAAATATCTGTTTTCATTCCCTTATAAAGGTGCAACGTCGAAATTGCGACTATTTCCGTTCTAACACAATTGTTAGAAGAAACTAAGATTTTAAAACTATAGTTTATCAAGAAAAAAGGTTCTAGTTAGCATTCTAAAATTATTAAATGCTAAATTCTAACGCATTTTGTTGCCATCACCATGAATACTTTGCAGCATAGGACATAGAACGGACTCCGTGTATAAATAGTCACAATTGGCCAA